ATATTGTGCCCTTATTTTGCAGTGCTTTATAAACTATTTTCGAATGATAATTGACATTGGTGGCTTGCTTTTGGCACTCTAATGTTATGGATAACATTTCTTATAATAAGCACTCGGATGCATGTGATAGTATTATAGGAAGCACTCTTTCATAGCACAGGTCAAAATGCAATTATGCTTTACTTGTTCCCAACTTATCTTCATGTTTTAGGCTACAATTACCCTAACACAATATCAGGTAGTAAGCACAGATCAACTAAAGTCTAAAGCTAAATGCTTTAGATTTTATCACCAGCCCTCCACTTGTTGTAGACTGCATATCTCTCAGATATCCTGTCTGTCTCTCGTGCTCTCCGCATGTTTAGTAAAGTCAGAGGTCGCAGGTTATTTGACTCATGACCTCTAACTTCCCGAGACACATGGGGTGCATGAGTGGCAGATATATAGGATGTCTGTGCACATATAGAGTGCACAGGCACTGTGCTGCCTGCCACCCCCGCCCCACAGAACCACAAAATATACCATCAATGCAACTGGACTGGAATGCCTAAAATTTTGGGCAACCTAGAGGACAATTGCATCCCCCCCACCCAGCCTGTCCCTGCCAGGAGCACACCATTGTAGTGTGAGCTGGAACATGCCTATGTAACTCCTCACACCATAGACCAATCAAGATGGACACCTCAGCCAAACGCTGCATAAAGCCCTTGCCCCAACTCGCATGTCAGTACAAACTTGGAGAGCATGAGTGTTCAAAATGATCTTGCCATGTTCATCTTTATATTTCACTCCTCTTTCAACCACACAATTTACCACACCGAATCAAGACCTGAGACATTGGCCTCACTCTGGTATCACAACAATGAAAAGCTTGCTCCATAATAACAACTCCCCTTCCAAGACCTAAGTACCCAGTTTCAACTACCCAGTATAGACATCTTCACATATCTCAGACTAAAACATAACATTTAAATGCACAGAATCACGACACATGGTAATCCTAGACTTTTACTCTTCTTCAAAATGTGCTTAGGCCACATGGAAAACATAAAACCTCAAGCTTCCTAGTATCATGCGATGCTATCTTTGAACCTCAAAAAAACTTAGGCTCATCACTAAAATTCAACAAGATCTGGTCATGCTGGGATGAACACTACAAAACTGTAGGAGTTTTGTACCTTGAGGTACCATCAGGGCCGGATTAACATAGGGGCTGATGGAGCTGCAGCTCCAGGCCCAGGCCCATGGAATAGGCCCATTAATTTTTTTTATTTTTTTTTACATTTTTTTTTTTTTTACATTTTTTTTTTTTCACACACTACTCTTAGGGATTCCACCTGCCTTTTATTTTATTGGCACAGCCAGTATTTGAGGCTGCCTGGCTGGTGCCAATATTGCAGTGATACTGGCAATATAAATGTTGGTATTTTTCTCAGTATAAATGGAGATTACTATGCAATACCAGCACTGACCAGTAGGGGTCGCTGTATGTGGAGACAGGCAGGGATAGGAAGTTCCAGCATATCCCTCCCTTCCTATCTTTACTCACTGATCTGCAGGGGTGCAGCTACAGAGAGTCCAGACAGCAACTCCCACCCTGCAGAGACAGCCTACAGCTCAGGGAAGTAAGGGATGGGGTGAAAGGCTGCAAGGAGACATACACTGAGACACTAATGGACATTGAGAGACATTATGGCAGACACTGAGACACTAAGGGACATTGGGAGACATTATGGCACATACACATGGGGACACAGTGTCCCCATGTCTCCCAGCCAGTGTCCCTGGTGTCCCAGTGCCCCCTAGTCTCCCAGTGACCCCTAGTCTCCCACTGTCCCCATGTCTCCTAGTGCCTCCATGTCTCTCAGTGCCTCAAGTGTCACAATGTCCCCTAGCTAGTGTCCCTAGTGTCTGTGGCCCTGGTGTCTCAGTGTCCCCATGTCTCCCAGTACCCCCATGTCTCAATGTCCCCATATCCCCCAGCCAGTGTCTCTAGTATCTTTGTCCCTGGTGTCTGTGTCCCCATGTCTTCAAGTGTCCCCTATTTTCCCATTGTCCCCATGTGCCCCAGCCATAGTCCCCTAGTCTCCCAGTGTCACTGGTGTCTCCGTGTCCATAGGTCTCCCCGTGTCCCCAGGTCTCCCCGTCTTCCTAGTGTCATAGTGACATGGGGACCCTGGGATACATGGGGACACAGGGAGACATAGGGCATTGAGACACTGATACATAGGATCACTGGGCGACCTGGGGACACAACACTAGGGGACACTGGGAGACATGGGGCACTGAGACACTGATACATAGGAACACTGAGACCTGGAGTAATCGACACATGGGGCACTGACTCATGAGGGCACAGGGAGGAATCCATCTATACAGCAGATTTAAACTAAGTAGTTTTTTGGTGATTTTACAGCATTTTCTCTTATGTCACTCCTTGTGATTTACATCATGTGATGTCACCCACACATATTTAATTATGCAAATTAGTAAGGCCGGTATGTTTTTCCAAGAAAGGTGGCAACCTTAACTACTTTTCACATACTCTTACTTAAGTATGGAAACTTAAGAGGGATGTATGGGAACAAAACGTGTGTGGACTGGCTGACAATGAATATAGTTAAAGGGACACTATAGTCACCAGAACAACTACAGCTTATTGAATTTGTTCTGGTGAGTAGAATCATTACCATCAGGCTTTTTGCTGTAAGCATGGTCTTTTCAGAGAAAATGCTATGTTTACATTACATCCTAGTGATAACTTCACTGGCCACTCCTTAGATGACTGTTAGAGATCCTTCCTGGGTCACGGCTGCCTAAAATGCATCCAAACATTCAGTGTCTCCTCCCTCTGCATGCAGACACTGAACTTTCCTCATAGAGATTCATTAAATTCATCTATATAAGGAGATGCTGATTGGCCAAGGCTGTGTTTGAATCATGCTGGCTCTGACCCTGATCTGCCTCTTTGTCAGTCTCAGACAATCCTATGGGGAAGCACTGTGATTGGATCAGGCCACCACTTCTAATGATGTCAGCAGACTGCTTGTTTTTATAAGTCTAACAGCATGCAGAGTTACAGCTTCAGGCTTGAATATAGTAGGATTTTGCTGTATTTATGGAGGCATGAGGGGCCCAGGGGGCTAGATGGTGGTGTTAACACTATAGGGTCATGAATTCATGTTTGTGTTCCTGACCCTATAGTGATCCTTTAAGGTAATGCTGACTTTGGTCTCTAACACTGTGGCATGTTCCCTTTCTTCTACACTCACTACATACAGCTTTTCTCTGTCCCAGACTATATACCAGGAGCTTCTGCCTGCTAGTAAGAAGGTAAGGAGACAAGTGGCCAGCGAATGCTAGGGGACAGTCCTTAGTAAGCATTGAGTGAGCGCATCATTAGATGCATTTATGCCAAGCTCAGGGTGCTGTCTGCATAGTATGCCCCTAGTTGGCCAGCTGCATGATTGGCAGGCAGCCTGACATGCATTCATGCCAGGCTGGCCTTCTAATTCTTTGATCAGACATGTCCTCTTTTTGGGCATGTTCGCCCCTTTTGGCAGGTTACGTGATTTGTGTCAGTGGCACACCCTTTTACCATGCCCATTGACTTCCTGCCTGACTGGACACTGCTGTTAGGGGTTATGGATTTACTTGAAAGATAAAAACATAAATTAGAGAGAGATTAGCCTAGGGTATGTGTTTTCTTATAGCTGCTGTTTTCTTTCTCTCCAGCACCATCTCCATCAGATACATGATGCTTGGGAGTGTTTTACTGTTTTTTGTCGATATGATTCTGTAATTAGGCCCGTCATAATTGTCAGCACCAGGCCCACTGGGCTCTTAATCTGGCCCTGGGTACCATGAATTCCACCCCCTCCTCCTCTCCCTCTTTAGCACCCTCAACCTCGTATCCTATACAGAACTTTCTCATGTTGTTTCTTCTGTGAGGCCATAATAGAGATATCCGCAAAATGTCCATGATGCCAAGTCATATGTGCATTGTTCTCAAGAATAATTATTGAAATATATTAAGTTAAAATATTTAATATAGATGATAAATTTAAAAATTATGAAACATGCACATGTATATATTTTATTTTATAAAAATTTAGATCTTCCCATTAATTCAACTGGTGGGTGATGTTTTAGAATGCTTTCTACAACGAGTTGAACATTATTCGTGCAAGTATTCCCCATAGTGAATAGAGAATAAAGCACAGATATATGCCCAGACCAATCAAGATTAGAGGGAGTTATACTCCGAATCAGCAATAACTGCCGTCCAAGAAAGTTACTACACCAATCTCAGGCAGCAATGTAATATACAGTGGGACCTCGGTTTACAAATTTAATGCGTTCTCCGGGACGTTTCTTATTGCGAAACATCTGTAAACCGAAACACGGTTTCCCATAGGAATACATTAAAAAAAACAATTATTCCATTCTGGAGGTCAGAAAAAAGTCAAAATGAGCTGGCATGGAAACCAACCCACAGTGCAGAACACACAATAAAAGGCATGCAAACAACAAAGCCCAGCTCTCTACCTTTCCACACCTTGAGAAATGCACCAAAAAGTCCCAAAACAACTGCAAACAATTTCCAGAATGGCTCCAAAAGTCTAAGCAAAAGCCCTTCCAACACCTCAACACTTGACGCCACGTACTACCCACAGGCTCCAGCATGCAGGGGGCGGTGCTATAAACCTACCAGGCCCAATGCATCCTGGGGAAACTTGCTTTGTATTGCGAAAAAAAATTGTAAACCGAGGAATTATTTTCAATGAATTTTCATTTGTAAACCGAAAATTATGTTAACCGAGGAGTTTGTAAACCGAGGTCCCACTGTACATATATACTGTTAAGTGCTGCCCTAAAAGTAAAGACCTCTCATTATTCCTACAGTACACTTCACTAATAGTGATGTCGCGAACCGTCCGCGAACTTCTCGTGAACAGTTCGCCGCGGTTCGCCACGAACCGTTCGCGGCGAACTCCGGTCAGCTGACACATCCCTGCCAATCTCCGGCAGACCCTCCCTCCCAGACCCTCCTACTTCCTGGACAGCATCCATGTTGAAGGCAGCTTCAACATGGATCCTGTCCAGGAGGTGGGAGGGTCTGGGAGGGAGGGTCTGCCGGAGATTGGCAGGGATGTGTCAGCTGACCGGAGGTCGCCACCGTGGCGAACCGTTCGCGAGAAGTTCGCGGACGGTTTGCGACATCACTATTCACTAACACTCCTAACTTAATCTGACACTAATAATCCTATAACCGCATGTTCAAATTGTCAATAAATTATAAAATACAGTAAAAGATAGATTAACAGAAATTTTTTTTATTTTATTTTTTTTTTACAATTAGTGCTTTTATTTAAAAAAAGTAAATGGAAAGCTATTAACATAGGGAGCTGAAAGTACCATACCCCAGCTGTTCATACTGAATATCTACTTTGCTAATGCAATTAATGGCTTTTATTGAAATGATTTACCAGGTTTACAAACCCATTAATCAATAATATTTTAAAAGGAAAAGGATATCTCTATCGGAGAACAGATGAGCCAGTAAAAATAGCTGAGCTGTTAATTGTCCACTTTGATAAACAAGGGACAAATTTAAAACATGCTCAGTAACAGTTTGTGACTACTGATATTGACATTGGTTCACAGCAGATAAATATGAACGGTATAAAAGAAACAAGCAGCACTGTAACTTAAAATAAATGAATAATGAGTTATCAACCAGAGCATAAAAAAACTGAGAACGTTGCAACACTCGGACTTTTATCATGCAATATTAGGTGTTTGAGAATGGGATGGGAAAGGTGAGATGCTATTATTATTTTGGCGTTTATATAGCACCAGCTTATTCCACAGCACTTTACAATATAAAAAAATGGGGGAAATGTATTAAACAATAAATGAGACAATTACAAATGGGGGGCTATGTGATCACTCTTATTCAGTCATATTCTGTTGCTGTTTGTGAGGTAGCTGTGACCTGTCTCTACCTCCCTGAGATACATGCTAAGAACCTGTCAGCTAATTAATCAATATTTTTATGACACAGCTTAAATTATTTTATTAACATCTGAAATACGAAAGACTGAACTGGGTATGGAACCTGTGAACCTGAAGTTTGAACAAGTTCTAAAACTGACAAATTTAATGACGAAGTATTTAAATTACTAAAAGGGATGAGTTAACAAAGAGAGAGGGGGTTTTACAGCACAATAAAATATAATTTGTTTATTTGATGCAAAACACGTTAGTCAAGCTTAATGTGTTTGCTATTAGCATTAGTTATGATTGCGTTGGAAAGCAATTAGCGATCAACTGTTTTTTAATTGCGTTGTATCCTATTATTGAAGTAAAATGGAAAACTGAGATTTTGCAATCATTTTAAACTGGGGTTAAGTGCTGTGTAACAGTAGACTTTATGGAAAGCCTACAAAATCCCCTGTGTAATTACAGAAAACGTGACCTTTCTGCACAGACAATGCAGCAAAATGCATCCTCTATTGGCTGTTGGCAACTTGCATGTTCAATCTAGATCTTCAAAGATAGTGATAACACAACTCAAATAATTGTTTTCCAGTATATTTATTCAATGCATATTCAGCTTTTGAATATGGATATAATCACAGAAATTGAAAGAAAAAAAAGCAAATATGCTGTTATTGTAAATGAACTGCTAAAATGTTTTAAAAAATATAATTAAGTGGCTAGTGGATTCACAGAGTCTCTACTTTTACAGAGTAGTTAGCTTTAGATTCATGTCATTTTTTTTTTTTTCGGGTGCCAAGAAGCAATCAAAAGCAGAAAATGCTTGGCACCTCTCCTATGGCTAACTAGTTGATAGATATATATATATTTTTAAAGTACTGCATTAACCTGAACCACCAATGCCTTTTGAAAATGTGGAATTTTACTCTTAACCATAACAACTACACGGGGCTCTAAAATGGTTTGACTTCTTACAATGGGGGATGGGGGTACCTGGTCTCTCCTGGTGTAAAGTCCACTAGAGCATGATGCAGTGGCTATGGTGCTTGTAGTGTTCCTTTAATAACAGTCAGCATCAGGCGTTCTATTGCAAGATATCAGATAGCAATTACTGGCACTATTGTTTTATCTGGGGCTAAAAGCATATAGCTCTCTTTAACATAATCTGGTACATAAGTTAGCTTTAACATTCTGGTCTTTGCTTTAAAAGGCAGAGATGATACCTATTTTTTAGCACTGCTGTTTAAAGTATTGAGCCGGATGTCACCTTAATAGCACCGAAAATGTAAACATGTAGATTCGTTTAGCGATATAAATAGTGTAACCGCGGCCGGTTCCCTTATTTACCATGAAATGTTGTAAAACATAGATCTTAGCAGGGCTAACCAAACAGATATCTTAGCCATAATTTTATATAGATAGTAAGAGATCCTCTATTTAACATATATAAATAATTGAGAATACAATATAAAATAAGGATTATCTTGGAAGCAATAAAGTTTTGTCTTTTTAGATATTTATTACATAGAAATAGAAATATAGACATATAAAATCCATTACAATAATTTATAGCAGAGTTTATAAGATTAGACTATATGCTTGCAAATATCATTAATAGATTAACATACCATCCTGAACATGCCATCATGCCAGCATCTCTGTCATTTTAAGATGGAGCAGCGTCTGTCTCCAAGTCTCTCCTCTGTTTCTTAACATTTAAAAGTACACCTATTTATACCTTAGGTGTCTCCATTTTAGGGTTACCGTAGTTCATATATGAAAAAGTTACTTTCTTACTTTATTCATTTTAGGACCTCCCTTAACTTGGCAAAAATACAAGACCATAACTAAAGGGTGTATACGTGGAAATTTTCCTGACTTAGGTCAAGATGGCATCTTAAAGTCTGAACATCTTTATCTACTTAGGGTTACCACAGTATATTGTTTACTGAAAGAGTCGTAGTATAGCCTTGAAGCTTGTTTATGCCTTATTGTTATTGTAATTCGTCTGGGACAAAATGGCGTAAACATATTATGCACTGAAGGTAAGTAAGAGGTTATTGCTTAAAGAAACAGTTATGAAAAACAATATGTTCCATTTCTAACACCTTGTCAGTTTGAAATATCTCTTAAAGACAAAGTACACAGTTTGAGAAATACAATAATTGCATTTGCCCAAAACAATAGTTGCGCTTTGAAATCAATAACACTTGGAAGTCAAGGTTCTGACTGGAGTAAGAACAACAAATGTGTGTGCATGTACTATGTGTCCAAACATGCAACATGGCTGCAATGTTACACAAGGGGGAATATATATATATATATATATATATATATATACACATCTACGTACAAACAACATGAGTATCCAATATGTTAGAAAATATATATGTGAGAGCTAGATTATAGAATATGGTAGAGGAAGAGTGGAATGCTAATTACATATTAAGAAATTATATTATTTTACAATACTGTTTTTTTTAACAGTTAATGATATGGTAAATAATTTTTTTGAAACATTTTTCTGTCCAATCGATATTTCTGTTTGTTTCCATTAAATAATGTGTTTTCTGTAATATCATTGGCTTTTTTGAGTATGTGAAACTGCAACTTCATTTAGTAACTAGCAAATGGCCTTGGCGTTTCCATGGTTTCCTATGGAGCTCTCTCTCTCTCTGTTAGAACCCTTTACTAATTTGTGTTTTAGCAAATTCACACGTTTAGCTATTTTTTGCAAAACTTTTACACTCATTATTACAGTGTACGAAATGACACTTATTATTACTATTACTGACTATTTAGTGACTATGGTATTATGGCATTTAGTATTCATCTTCTCTTCTTCTGCAGTTTGGCTCCTACAAATATTGAAATATCATATCAGTCATGCTGGATTTCCGTGTATTTAAATGCAGTTCCTATAGCCTGTAGCAGTATGACCCAGGCAATGTATGACCCTAGATGTCTGTGGCTCCATGTACTGATTACGTTGCTTACACTCATATCATCACCGAGCTTCACACAGAATACTGACAGATATGCAGCTGTTGCCACTCCAGTCCTGTCACAAGTCTGGGTGCCCGGAATAGCAGGGGCAGATGGTACACTGAACATATGCATCTTTTTCACTTTGTAGAGCAATTATAGTGAGCATTTGGGTCACAGATAACATAATAACCCAGGAGAATAGCTAATAAGTTCCAAGGAGCAGCACTGTCACACTCTGCAGATTGTAATTAACAAGTAATCCGTCATGTCATATAAAATCTGAGGACTGGCAAGGCCATGAGTTCAAAACACAAACATGATGGGTTTTTATTTAACCCCTTTAGGACCAGAGTTAGACAAATCCCTTGTTACTCTCATTGTTATTAATAGGATTAATTTACTATTACAAAATTAAACAGAGTGGAAGCCTAATATAGCATAGATCATTAGGGCAGTGAAGGGGTTAACCCTGATTAGGAATACGAAGAAGAAGGAAAGAAACACTGTCCTAAGTGGGGATAATTAAAATATAACTTTTAATCATGAAACAAATATAAATACAAATAGTTAATATGGAAAGAGATTACTCTCAAAAAATGTAAATACGAGATGAAGGAATTCCTTGAGAAGTTTTTGAGAGTAATCTTCTCTTTCCATATTAACTATTTGTATTTATATTTGTTTCATGATTAAAAGTTATATTTTAATTATCCCCACTTATGACAGTGTTCCTTTCCTTCTTCTTCGTATTCCTAATCAGGGTTAACCCCTTCACTACCCTTCTTAGAATTAATTTACTATTGTCCTGAGAATTGCAGTACAAACTGAAGTTAAAAATATGTCCTGATCTAAGTCCATAATTAGAATTTAAAACAAATATGATTGCTTTAACTACAAGTAGCTTACCGGTACCGTATATACTCGTGTATAAGTCGATCTCGTGTATAAGTCGAGTGCAGTTTTGTGACCAACAATTGTGAAATATTCTATGCCTCGTGGATAAGTCGAGGGTAAAACTTGGGGCTATGAAATTCTGTGATTTTTATAATTATATACACACACTCATACAAACACACACACTCTGCATTATATACACACACAATCATACAAACACACACTCTGCATTATATACACACACTCATACAAACACACACTGCATTTTATACACACACACTC